AGTGAGTCTGAATGCAGTGGGCAAAGTGGACTGAGAGGAGAGGGATGGGAGTGAGTAGGCCATCTCGCAAGACGCAGCAGTGGTCCAGATGGGGGTGATGGAGGTTTTAGCTACTCTGCGTACTTTATCAGATCCGTGTTCCGTGAGGAAAAGAGAAGTCAACCTAGATATTTCAAACAGAGGATATTTGATACAGGGGATTGAGTACAAAAGTACAGGAAAAACAGAACGGGTATGTCAGGTTACCTAAGATTAGTAACTACAGGAAGCTGCAAGCCCTTTTAGGGCCACGGGTCTAAAGGGAAAAAGGTCTTACCCAAAACCAATATAATCACTGGGCCCTCACCAGTCATGACTGTTTCTGCCATTGTTGCTAGAGTCACTGCTGCTGTCACCACTGCCTAAGGTGTTGGCAGAATAATGGTTTCTCTCCACCTGCCTTATGACTTCCTTTGACAGAACATGGGAATGGTATCTGGGAAATATGTGCAGTTTGCAGCCTGGGTGTCAGAGTCTACAGGGGCCATGACAGCAGACTCTTCTGCACCTTCTCAGCTGAAAACAGAGGCTTGGTCCCACGTGTCTGGCCTGAGTGGCCTGGGACTCCCCCTACTGCTGTGGCCACCATGCTTGGGGGTGCTCAACCGTCCTGGGGACTCTCTCACTAGAATCCAGGGCTGTGCTTCCCAGCACCGCAGCCATTCACCATGTGTGGCGATGTAAGTTTTATTTTATTTTTTTAAAACATTTTATTGACTTGAGAGAGGAAGAGAGAACCAGAAACATCAAAGATGAGAGAGAACCATTGATTGGCTGCCTCCTGCACATCCCACACTGGGGATGGATCCCGCAAGCCGGGCATGCACCCCAATCGGGAATCGAATCATAACCTCCTGGTTCATAGGTCGATGCTCAACCACTGAGCCACACAGGCCAGGTGCTATCTAAGTTTTAATTAATTACAATTAAATATGATTAAAACTCATTTCTCCATACAATGTACAACAACAACAGGAGTTAACCCCAATGCAAACTATGAACTCTGGGTGACAATGACATGTCAGTTCATCAATTGTGACAAGTGTTCCCCTGTGGTGGGGGATGCCGTTGGTAGGGGAGGTTGTATGAATGTGGGAACAAGGGGCATATGGAAACTCTCTCTACTTGTCACTCAGTTTTGCTGTGAACCTATAACTGCTCTAAGAACATTTATTAATTTTTGTAAAAAGTCATTCCTCTCACCAGCCATATCCCAAGGGTTCAGATGCAGCCAGTGGCTATTATATGGCCAACACAGGTGGGGGTAACCTCCATCTTCACAGAAATTTCTCCAGGACAGTGCTGCTTCAAGGATCATCTCTGAGGGATTGCTTCCAGCATTTTCTCCATAGGCCTGGCTCTCCTCCTTCCCTTACTAACTTCTCAGAGTTGAGAGAGGTAGGTAAGGTTTGAATCCCACCCCTGCGCAGCAAGGGAGTATTTAGTTTCTAAGACTGAAAACCCCTGATGAACTCTGAAGACCAATGAAGTCCACGTTCGAAGGTCTGCCAACCTTGGCCAAAGCAAGAATAAAAGTTGCCAGAATTTCACTTTTTGAGTGGACTTTTCATACTGATCATCTGTGAATATACCATTTATAATTTCCAATTTATTCAGCTTATTTGTATTATCACTAGATTCCAAATTTCTGGTGTCCTAAAGTTGATATAGTAAACTCTCGATTTTGCAGGCCTTACTATACCAGACTTTGGATTTAATGGACAAAATGTCCGGTCTGTATGTCACATGTGAAAATTAACAACCTGTTCATTTTAAAATACTTTTAGCCCTAGCCAGTTTTGCTCAGTGGATAGAGTGTTGGCCTTCAGACTGAAGGGTCCCGGGTTCAATTCTGGTCAAGGGCACATCAGGCTCAATCCCTGACCCTGGACAGGGCGTGTGTGGGAGGCAACCAATCGATGTCTCTCTCTCTCACATCACTGTTTCTCTCTCTCTCTCCCTGTCTCTCCCTTCCACTCTCTCTAAAAATCAATGAAAAAATATCCTCAGGCAAGGATTAACAAAAAAATAACAATACAATGCTTTTAACCAAGTTTTGCTTGTAATTAAATTAACAAGTTATTTTATTGTTACTAATTCACTGTTTTTTAAGAATAGTTTAGCCCGTCTGGTGTGGTTCAGTGATTGAGCATCAATGACCAGATCAATTCCCGGTCAGGGCACATTTGCGGGTTGCAGGCTGGATCCCCAACAGGGGGCATGCAAGAGGCAGACGGTCAATTATTCTCTCTCATTATTGATGTTTCTAAACCTCTCTCCTCCCTTCCTCTCTCTGAAATCAATAAAACATTTTTTGTTAAAAATTATAGTTTACTGATTTTTAGAGAGAAAGGAAGGGAGGGAGGGAGAGAAACTTCGAAACACCCATTCATCTGCTGTCTGCTGCATGCCCCCCACCTGGGAATATGCCCTGGACCAGGAAATGAACAAGCAACCTCCTGATGAATATGCCCTGACCAGGAAATGAACAAGCAACCTCCTGATGCACAGGATGATGCTCAACTTACTGAGCCATGCTATCCAGGGAATTCACTGTTATTTTATTTCTTGTTAATCCTCACCTATGGATATTTTTTCCATTGATTTTTACAGAAAGTGAAAGTAGGAAGGGAGGGAGCAGAGAGAGAGAGAGAGAGTGGACCCATTGCTTCCTGCACCCACCCCAACCAGGGCAGGGATCAAGATTGAACCTGCAACCCAGCTACATGTCCTTGATCAGGAATCAAACCTGCGACCCTTTGGTGCTCGGGCAGATGCTCTAACCCTTGATAAATACTGGCCAGGGCAATTTATTGTTATTTTTAACAAAGTTTAGCAAAGAGGCCATATGTCAGAAAAAACACTGTAGTAATTTCACCAACATAAATAAATATTATACATCTACAACTATAGTCTACATGTTTAAATAGACTATAGTTGTAGATATATATTTGTCTCTACTCGTAAACAGTGTTCAGGGAATGATTAGCACGTGATCACACTGCATTGTGCTCGGAAATTGGTTCTTTCTCTTATGTGGTGGTGCGACTTTCTACAGCAGTTTTAACTCATGCCTGCCAATTTTCAGACAAGTGCTAAGCCACACCCCAACTGTGTGCATCTGTTTACTCTCGGTGACTGGTGAATACATGCATTTACTACATCTATTCAATATAAATTTAAAATTATGGTAATACACACAGAAAACTTTTCAGTAAAATTGAACTTCTCATACATACTTAATTACACCAACGTGTCTACATAAGTAAAAACAAGTAAACTAATTTGTTAATTTTTTAACATATGCATTCTGAAAACCTACTTTATTATATACTAGAGGCTCAGTGCACGAATTTCGTGCACAGGTAGGGTCCCTAGAGGCCGCCAGCTGGGGTCTTCCTTCGTTCTGTGCCGCCCCCTGGTGGTCAGCGTGCGTCATAGTGAGCAATCAAACTCCTGGTCGGTCAAGGTGAATGCATGCATTTACTACATCTATTCAATATAAATTTAAAATTATGGTAATACACACAGAAAAGTTTCCAGTAAAACTGACCTTCTCATACATACTTAATTACACAAACGGTGTCTACATAAGTAAAAACAAGTAAACTAATTAATTTGTTAATTTTTTAACATATGCAGTCTGAAAACCTACTTTATTATATACTAGAGGCTCAGTGCACGAATTTCGTGCACAGGTAGGGTCCCTAGAGGCCGCCAGCTGGGGTCTTCCTTCGTTCTGTGCCGCCCCCTGGTGGTCAGCGTGCGTCATAGTGAGCAATCAAACTCCTGGTCGGTCAAACTCCTGAGGGGACACTTTGCATATTAGGCTTTTATATATATTGATAGGACTTTCAGTTTTAGCGGATACCGCCTGGCCCAAATTAGTACATTATATCAAGGTTTTACTGTAATTTCTAACACAAGTTTCTGCATGAGAAAACAGGTCTCTTCAAAACAAAAGATTGCTATGTGTGACTTTTTTTAAAAAGCAAAATGCCCAGCTGGTGTGGCTCAATTGTTTGAGCATCGTCCAATGCACCAAGAGGTCACCAGTTCGATTCTAGGTCAGGGCACATACCCAGGTTGTGGGCTTGATCCCCAGTAGGGGGCCTGCAGGAGGCAGCCAATTAATGTTTCTCGTAGATGTTTCTATCTCTCCTCCCTCTCCCTTCCTCTTTCTCTAAAATCAATAAAGACATATTTTTAAAAAGCAATTATTTGATTTGAAAGGAAAACATTAAACTGAGAAGTTATCACTATTTTCACTTGAGAAAATGAATTTCATCCCTCTGTCTTACAGAGAGCTCACAGTCACAGAAGTGGGCCACAGAGTAGGGAGGGGAAGCATCAGCTTCTTTATGGCATTTCAAATGTCTGTGTGCGAGGGAAGCCTGGTTCTTCAAAATAACCAAGATACCGGTAGAGCACACAAAACCTTACCATGCTGAGGATGTTGCGTAGATTTCATATGGAAAATTGTGTCTTATGTTATTAATAATTTACAAACCAAAGAAATAAGGCATCATTTCCCCTTTTTCAAAATAGGTTTTACTAACTTTTATTTATAAAACATTTTGGGGACTTAAAAAAGAGCATCAGGCCCTGGCTGGGTGGCTCAGCTGGTTGGAGCGTCTCCCCATACACCAAAAGGTTGCAGGTTCGATCCCCAGTCGGGGCACATACAGGAAGCAACAGATGTTTTTCTCTCTCTCCCTTCCTCTCTCTCTCTCTCCCTCTTTCTAAAAACAAACAAACAAACAAACAAAAAACAACATGTCCTCAGGTAAGGATTTTAAAAAAAGAAAATAGCATCAGGTTTTTTCACCAGACTCACCAGCCTCTGGTTCCCAGCCTCAGGTTCGTCCAGAGGAAACATCTTGTGCACAGGGGTGGGGGCTTGAGGAAACCACCAAGAAGTATAGGAGCATTTCTCAAAGAAAATCGGACAAATTCCCACGTACGTAGACGTTTGAGCTTTTAAATGTAGATTCAAGTAGAAACAAGGTTTACCAGTCATCTTTATCTGGGGGGGGTGACTAAAGTTCATCCCTCTTGTGAAATCTCCGGAAATTATTTTCTCTCCCATCAAACCTGCCCATCAGCAGGTCCTCCTCATCTTCCTCACGGGCCTTCTTCACTTCCTCCTTGGCCTGGATGGCATCCATCTCCCTTTCTGGGTCCTGCAGACAAAAACAGAGACCGGGTGGCCAGGGATTATGCTTCCTGGAGGCTGACCAGATGTTCATGTGCAACCTGCCTTCTAGAAGCCTCCACTCCAGCTCAGGGCAGCTGGAAATGAGCCCCAAAGCTATCAGGTCCTAATCCCTGGAAGCTGTCAAGATGACCTGATATGGGGAAAAGGTCTTTGCAAATGGGATTAAATTGTGTTGAGATTATCCTGATTTGTCAGGTGGACCCTAAATTCCATCGTAAGTGTCCTCATAAGAGAGAGGCAGAGAGATTTGAAACACACACACAGAAGAGGAGAATGCCACATCAAGACAGAGGCAGAGCCTGGCCAGTGTAGCTCAGCAGATGAATGTCCATCCAGGAACCAAGTCACCAATTCAATTCCTGGTCAGGGCACATGCTCGGATTGCAGTCTCAATGCCCTGTGGGGAGCTTGCAGGAGGCAGTCCATCGATGATGTTTCTCTCTCATCAATGTTTCTCTCTCTCTCTCCCTCTCTCTCTCTGAAAAATCAATGAAAACATAAAAAAAAGACAGAGGCAGAAATGAGAGTGATGTGGCCACAAACCAAGGAACACCAGAAGCCACCAGAAGCTGGAAAAGGCAAGAAAAGGATCCTCCCTAGAACCTTTGGCAGGAGGGTGGTCCTGCTAATGGAGTTCTGGCCTCCAGAACTGTAAGAGAATAAATGTGTGTTGTTTTAAGCCAGCCAGTTTGTGGTGATTTGTTACGACAGCCCCAGGCAATGAATTCATCCCTCTTTCTGTTCCCAGAGCAGTGGGTCCCTGTCCTTCAACCAGCTGAATGGGTGATAAGAGGAGAACTTAGAACCTAAATGAGAAAATCCAGGGAATGTAAAATAAGGCGGCACACTGATAACTGTTTGGCTGTGAGGGACATTGTAAACCCAGCCTGTTCACTCCTGGCTGTTCACTGAAAGATACATACAGGAATGATTGTAACAGCTTTATGCACAAGGCCACAAGCTGGAAGCCACCCAAAGCTGCCTTGACAGAGAATGGATACATACCTTCTGGGATATTCTCACAGGAAGATGGAGCTACTGCTGCATGTGACAATATGAGTGCGTCTGACAACACTGCCTACATGAGTAAATATGACTCCGTTTATATGAATTTCAAAAGGAGGTCAAATTGATCTAGATAGAATAGTGATAGAATAGTGGCTCCTTTGGGGGCGGGTGCCGGCTGGGAGGGGATATGAGGAGGCTCCTGAAAGCATTCTGTGTGTTGATCTAGGTGGGGTGTTCATTAGCAAAAACCCTTCAAGTCCTTTCCTACATGTTAGACTCAAGTACAGAAATAAATAAAAAATGAAAGAAAAGTGCATTGCACTCATCGTACCTTGGTTTCACCCCAGGTGGCCTTGCCAAAATTCTCAGCATACTCTTCGTCGTCTGTGATCAGGAAGTTATCGAAGATGGTTCCAGATCTCACCTGCAGATGAAAAT